GCTTGCCTCCTGGCGGCGGGCGGCAGGTCCGGGCCCCAGGGGCGCCGGGCTGGTGGCTCTGGCTGCTGAGGGCGTCAGTGTCAATGCGCCTCGCTGGCGGCCCAGAGAAAGAAGCGAGAGGAGGAGACGGGCAGGCGAGAGTGGGCAGACGCTCACGGTGCCGGTTGGCATCGCGTTTTCCTGGTGAGGAAGTAGCTGTACTCGAGAGGGCGAGTGAAAGGAAATCGCCAAAGATGCTTCTTTTGCTCCAGTGTTTGTGTCGTCGTGAGCTAGGCTACTGGGGCGCTGTCGTGTTGGATCAGCGATTGGCTTTTCGTATCACACCGTCCGGCGCCCGGCGGCGTTCACTGCCGCGGACTGGGCGCCCGCTTGGGGCCGCAGCCAGCTGGTACGTGCCCGCCTGTCAGAGGCCCGCCAGAAGCGTGCTGGCACACAGAGTTGGGGTACAGGCCAGAGGTGCAGGGGTGAGAGGACTCACCAGAGTCGGAGCGGGGAGCAGAGCAGGCGGATCGGCGAAGTCCACTGCCGAGGGGCAGCGGGCAGTCAGGAGAGCTCTGCCGCGCCCTGGGGCCCCCCGGCCGGGGGTCGCACTCGCCGTGCTGCGCTCTGGGCTGCTGCACCACCAGGGAGGCCCCACTGCTTCTAAAAAGCAACTTAAAAATGTTCCTGTTTCTGAATTAATAGCTCATCCGTTTCCTTGGTTTTAAGCGACCGTGTCCTCAAGGAGCAGCTTAGGAGCCCTTAGCCCAGTCAGGGGTGCGCTCCCCTGACTGGGAAACGCTCCGGATGCGGGCTTGCGCGTCCCAGGACGCCTGCACGTGGGTTTAGTCAGTAAACAGCAGAAGGCGTTGAAAAAAGAAACAGAAGACAGGACAGCGGGCCGCCTTTTCGCCTGACTGGCGTCTGGTGGCTGGCTGGTGGCTGAGAGAGCGGGGAAGGTGGGTGGCGCGTGGGTGGAACGTGGGGAACGGGGAACGTGAGGTTTCGCGTCCAAGCAGCGGCTGTGAGGGGACGGTGAGCAGTGGCACCCTGCTGCTTCAGAAAGCCGCGTGCGGCCAGACTAGCGTTTCTGCTCCACCCCGCGGCGGCCGCGGGAAGCCTGTAGCGAGGCCCCTGAGCGTCTCTTCTCCCGACAGCCACCATCCTGTCCTGCGGGTGGATCATTTACCTCACGTACTACAACTCTCGGAATGTCGGCCTGATCCTGACGCTGGTCCTCAACAGGCTGCACAAGCGCGGCTACATCCACATCGGTGAGCCGGGCGGCGGCGGCCTTCAGTCCCCGCCGGGTTCTCTTGTTGCTCGTTGACGTGCCTGCAGACGTCTGGACACATAAGGGAAAGTCTTCAATGCCGGGCGAAAATTTGCTTTTTTATTTCCGAGTATTTCTGCGTACTTGTGTATTTTATCTGGATGTGCCCTTGAGCCGGTCTGCGCCGGCAGGAGCCTGCAGCAGAAGGAGGGCCCAGGAGGCCTGCGGGAGTCCCCACCCCTCTGGCCCCGGGGGCGCTGAGCCGGCCTCGCCCTTGCTGAGGCTGAGCCCCCAGTGCCCCTGACTGCCGCTTCTCCCGGGCGTGAAGGGCGCCACGGAGAGAGACACAGTCCCGCCCCCACCTGGGGGGGAGAGGGGCTCGAGTTAGCGGTTGCCTCGGCTTGCGGGACAGTGGCCGTACCTGGCGGGTGGCCCTAGGAAGCAGCTCCGTGTCCGCGCCGATGACACCTGGCGTTGTTATAGTCGAGGGAAGACGATGGCAAACGGGGGGTCTGGGCTGGCTCCTGGGGAGCCCCTCGGGCACGGGGCGGCTGTGCCCGCGCCGAGGTGGTTTCAGACTCGGCCAAAGCGATCCTCCTCATCCGTGTTTCACGCCCCTGTGGCAGGCTCCTTCTCGTTCTCTGTGCTTTCCGGGAAAGTCATGGTCCGCGAAATCTATTACATCACAGAAGACATGTCCATCAGGTAAGAGATACACATCGCCGCGCCGTGCGAGGGGGCCGCGCCGCGCGCCCGCGCTTTTCCGGCGCCGCTGGCTCAGCACCTCTCTGGTGTGCCGACCGCAGATGTTGCCCTCCGCGGACTGGTTAACTAGCCCCTTGTAGAAACGGGTCGTTGCCTTCCTACGTGGAAAATGGAGTTGCTGAAATCTGAACTCGGGATGGTCATCTGCTACATAAACCAAGGAGCAGGAGTGCGACAGCTCACCCGCGGGATCCGTGTGGGTCGTAGGTTCTGAGAATCGCTGCGCTCCTCAGCAGCTCGAACTTTCCTCTACGAAGGAAACTCAAGTCTGAGCAGTGGTAGATGCTGAGTGGAATCGGGCGCAGTCTTTCTCATGGAGCCCGGGAGGAAAAGCTTTATTTCTGTGAGCTCCTGACAAGGTTTCACTTACAGAACGGGATCGCTCGCTTGGCAGCCCTCACAGCTCACTTAATTCAGAGGCAGCTTCTTGGCGGGTCTAAAATTCTTTCCAAGTGAAAAGCAAAAGGGTTCAAGCGCAGAGGCTGTGAACAGGCCCTCGGCCGGCAGGGGCACGAGGTGGCGGAGGGAGCCTCGCTCCCGGGTGCGGCCACCCTGCCACCCTGCTATTCTGGGGACACTTAGGCCGGCCGTCGCGCGTAGCGGGGCTGTTACATTCTGCCTGAATTGCGGAATCCAGTGGGGAACGGGGACATCTCATCCTTTTTCTCCTGGAAGATCAGGGGTCCCTTAGGGGTGCCAGTGTCTTATTGAACATTTTCTGTGTTTCCTTCATTTTTACTTCTTGCTCGTATCTTATAAAATTTAGTGAAGAACTGAGTTATGTAAAAAAAAAAAAAGTGTTCCTTAAGTTTTCATGTTTTGATTTTTCTTGTGTAGAATTCAAGATGGATTTATAATCTTTCGCTGGTGGAAAATGTACAACCCAAAGCAGAAACAGCATGGTGAGTCCCCACCTGCCTGAAAGCTTAATGAGAGCTTTCATTAAGACAATGAAATGTTTCGCGTTTTACAACACAGAGACGTGTTTAAAGCTTTGAAGTTTACAGAGTGATTTTCTTACCCGGGATTGTACCCCGTTAGGTTCTTCCGGTGTGGGTGATCCGGCTCCCTAGCGCCCGGCCGGCGCCCCAACCCTCCCTGGCCGCTTGCGCGACCCCGCAGGCCCAGCCCAGGTTCTCATTCCCCCGCGGCGGGCGG